GCAACTGTTTCCAGTGTTCACATGAACATCTCCAGAATCTGATCGTACATTATTCAGACGAGTCATTAAATAGAGCCAGTGTGGACAGTGAACATGGCAATATTACCAACTTCTGTCTTTCAAACGAACAAAAACATCTGCAAACATATTTCCCCACTGTGTTCAAGTATTCAGAAAGAAACTCCGAGCTGAAGAATATTGCTTAATAAACTCTTCAAAGGGCATCTCTGCTAACAAGTCACCGCCGATTCAATTCTAAAACCAAAAAAACGAATGAAAAGCAACTGGTGAATAATAATTTAATAAAGATTTCCAATTATATTCCGTTACATTCTCTGCTGTTTTTTCCCCCACCTCAGATTATGCTCGGAATTGCTGAATTTTTAACGTCATAAAGGACATCAGAAATTTATATTCGATTTAAAATTTGAATAAAGTGTCAACTCTCTTCTCCATGTTTGTGTAAATACAAAAGCTAAAATCAAAGAGAATCTGTACTGATATTTGATATGTAAAAACCATGTGAAAGTGAAAACTGTGAGCACAGATGCCTTGAGTAGAGACGGCCCTTTGTGTTTTGAATGACTGGATGGTATTTCAAGTTCAGGATTTCTTGGAACAGTGCGAAGACGAGTCTGTGTTGAGAACTTCAATCATGGTCCTCGTTAACTGGAACGTCTCTGAAACCAGTGGAAGGTTCTGGTACCAACTCGGCAAACTAGTTACAGAGAGAGAAAGAAGAAAGTGTTAGTGGTTTCCCACATTTTTCAGAAGTAGGAAGAATATGAGCATTCATAATAGTGATTGTGCACTCGTCGTACCTCTTTAAGTTCATCCAACTCTTGACGGTCTTACTGAAGCGATCAGGACTGGCTGTAGTCATGGCCTCAAAGTCAAACAGCTGGGTGACCAACCAAAAAGAGTGTTTCAATAGATACTTATAAAGACCATGCGTCTTGTTGCATTATTCAGTTCTTTACCTTTCCAGATGGGATTCGGCCGAGCACCTCTTTCCCACTGGCCATCAGAGCTCCCATGACCACAGAATA